CTTCACGTTCATTACTTTTTGGAATATAAGTTTGTTTGCTTAACCTTACTGTCTCGTGACCATGAGTACTGCTTAAAACGCCGAGCATTTACATATGTTGACAATTTATTGAATCTTTGTTTCACCAGTACCTGCTGATATTCTGAGGGCTAGCGGTGTTCTGCACACAATATAATAATGCCGAAAATCATTTTATGATACATTTCTTACTTACACTGTTTTTCATGTTCCGTGTCCTGTAGGCTACTCCCCTTGCTCACAACATTCAATATTTTGCATATTAATTTGGCACACATTTCGGAAAGGAGAGTTTCAGCTTATAATAAAAAGAAAACCTATGGTCACGTGTCAAAAAGTGCATCGAGTATGTCTAGTTTGCCGTATCCAAATTAGCTAAGACTTGTGGGGTGTGATGAAATGGAGAAATCCTCCGTCATTCTATGTTTTGCTACCATCCCTGCTAAACGTGGTAATTTTTGTGGAGTCGTAAACTAGAAAAGCCACGCACGGGCCTTTGTTCCGAGTACAATTATGGGTGAATTTATCAGCTGCATCCTGTGGTATCAAAGCGCCATAGATGGAGGAACCGACCAGGTTCCGTGAAGGTTAACAACCTCGTCTCGTGTATTTATTTCGCTTTAAAAAGGTCTTCTGTCACCTTTTATAGGTCTTATTGAATGTTCATTGAGCCTATCGGTTGAATGCCTCAAAATATCATGCCATTTAAGATGAGAGTACATCATTTATCATCGAGTAGGCAATTGTACCGGCGACCACGCTCACGTCTACGCAATATCTCTACAATGACCGACGCCTGGGATATGTTACAGTGTTTTTCTACAATTTTGGCTGGAAGGATTACGGTGAACCGTCGCTGACCGGCATACTGGACATCACCAAAGTGGTGGCGTTCGCCCTGACTCAGGGAAAAGTGGCCATTCACTGTCACGCAGGTATGTTCGCTCACGCAGGCGCCATGTCATATCGTCGCACGCCAGCCATCACCCGTCATCACTGGCCGATCATCACTGGTCATTACGCCATCTGCAGGCAACGGTAGTGCCCCAAACGTCTGCTCCGTGATGATTCCCAACTTTCCCAGCATCTTCTCAGGATTGGGTTTGTCTCCCTCAAGCCAGGACTGATTTGCAACGAATTGCACTAAACTGTTACTGCGACCAGCAAAGCATGCTCATCGCTGGAGTTTAAAGTTAAAATAAGGTAAAGTAATCTGCTTAGCTTGCCCTTGATCCCGTAACTAGTAAACCATGTTCATTGTTTGAAGTTTTAAGTTAGAATGAGCTTCAGACGGTCTGTTTAGCGTGCGCTCGGATCCAGCCGTCCCTGGCAGAGCGGGTTTGTTTCGCTTCAGACGCTGGCTGGGATAGCCGCGGCCAGTAGAAACCCGTCGTGTTGGTGTTCAGCTCCTGAACGACAAACAAAAGCTGTTAACTCATTATCTCTGAAATGCTGGTGACTATGCGCTCATTCTTAAGCTCTCCAAATTATGCGCTAACCCTATTCCCCCATGATCTGTCCGAATGAGTCAATATGAGGAGTAGGAATTTTCCCACGCCCTTCCCCTTTCCTCAGAAATTTAGGGGCGGCTGATCCGATTTTGATTGAACAAACATGATTCGATGGACATTAAAATGCGCAATATTTTAGACGCTTGGAAGTTCAGAAATGAGCTAGTTTGGAAGGAGGGTATAATGCTAAAATCTAGAGTATACTTTGAGGCCCCTGTACCCACATGCATTAACCGATTATCATGATAACACCGCCATTTAGGTTGAAATGCACGAGTCTTTTATATGTTCTGTACTTCAAACATAGGAAGAGATACAAAGACATGCGAAGTTTTATACCAAAAGTGGCTCAAAGATGAAAAATTAGCTGTTCTAGAATGCGATTGTGCTTCGTTGATTTTTGGCGATAACGACATGATGAATGACGATTATTAAATGCGCTACGTAAATGTCGTAAATACAATGTTGGTCGTCAAAATCGGCCGGCTTCGGTAACAAATTAAGTCCTGTGAATTTCGAATGGGAAGCAATTGGTAAAGCGCATTAACTCATAACCAGCTTCAGGTGTCGAAAGCGCACATTTTTAGTGCATCGACCGTCCCATATCAACACGCACATGCATTACACGTTGCCTTGTGCCATTGTTTGCCGTTGTTATTTTGAATTACATAATCGAGGCAGACAGAGGAGAGTTACCAAAAGATCCTCTGTGTTTTCCCTTTTCTTTTTAGCTGTCACCAGCTACACAAGATTTTATCCGCAGATCCCGCAGTAGCCTTGGTGATAGACACTTTACAATGGGTGACAAGATTGTAGCAGCAGATCCCGCGGCACTCTGGGTGGCAGACTAAACTAGACTAAACTAGACTAAACAATGGCGGTACTCTGGGTGGCAGACTAAACTAGACTAAACTAGACTAAACAACGGCTGACAAGATTGTAGCCGCAGATCCCGCAGTTGTTTTAGTACCGTCAACATCAACTACCTTTAGCATTTGATGACGTGGTCACTAAAATTCATGGAGTTTCATCTTAGGGCAGCCCTAGGCTTCTTTTAAAGGTTACGCTTCAGTTTGTAATTTGATTGATGATGGGCGGTTTGCCAACCATTTTTTATTTATGTGTCACATTCAAAGTTGTGGATCTTTTAAGTGTCCTTTTTAGCCGCACACAATGTACTTAACGCGAGGCTTTATGTCATATATACAAATCGGTGTGTTGCATGAAAGGTGTAATCTTTAACGCGCTTTAAATTCATGTGGCAATGCATGGTAAGCATCTGAGCCTCGTGTGTTCTTTAAGTTACTCATCTCCGAGGCTCTCTAAATGATATTTTAACATGACTGGTTATGATGCGTTGCCCGCTTCTGACGTCAGGGTAAATTCTGAACAATAGCAAATGCATCCAGTGCTTGTTCAGATCAGTGGGCAGCGCACTTCCGCTGAAAACTTAATAGCAACACAGAACGGTGGAACCAAAGTCTTGCATCTTTTATGGGCATGCATCTTCGACCGTGAGTATGCAACTATGTTAAGACACGAAGTCAGCAAAAAGCATATGCATGCCGGACCTGGGCGATAGCAACAAACCATGCACCATCAAGAACGCTCTCCTTGACAACTGCGGCTGCAGCGCTCCAAAACCCTGCATGGGGCGCAAAGTTCATACACTCTTAAAACGAAATTCCAACTCAGCCACGCATGCTTGGCCTTCGGTTGGCGAGACCAGTTGAGACAGGCATTCTGCCAGACAGGTCGGCTAAGCTGCATCGCGGTTTACCCCGACCCTCGCCCGTCCCTGGCGCCTTTCTGGCGCTGGCTGAAACTTCCCTTTGTCGGGTCCGGGCCGCTTTTCCGACTCGGGCGTCGATAAATCGAACGGCGGCGTCGGCGGCCGTCGGTGGCGCCAACCGTGCGCTACCGGCGGTCGCGCGACGCCAGAAGGTACCACCGACGGGACCAGCGGCACAGGGGCCCCGCGTCGGCGACCGGTGCCGCTGAGTGTGATACTTAACGGGACACGCTACATTCACGCGGTGCTGGTGACGTCATTGGTGTCATGATGCTGACGTCATTGGTTTATTATGATTGATGCGACGATGGCTTGTTCATCGACGCGTTACCAATGTCGCGGTCGCTTTTTAGTTCTGATGTTGATGTCGTGCGACGTCAGCGTCACCGTCACCCATCGTGCCTTCCCTTGAACATTCGGGAAAGCCGCATAAACAGCTAAGAGGCTCTGTCGGATCTCTTGCTACGAGCGCTTCCCTGCTTTGAAACGGATTCAGAACCTTCAGTATCAAATTAGGTATCGCACACCTCGATCCAAGGGAAGTCTTACAAAATCTACGGTGGGCCATTCTACCTGAATGATCAGCAATTTTAACCCCTGAGTTGCCGCCGAGTCACTCCGAAAGCGCTACCCGCAGGCCTCGGTCGCACGGGTGTCATCATCGCCTGCTACCTCGTCTACTCGCTCAGAGTGAAGGCCAACGACGCTATCCGCTACGTGCGCCTGAAGCGTCCGAACGCCGTGCAGACCCGCGGCCAGATCCTGGCTGTGCAGGAGTTCGAGCAGTTTATTCTTCCGCAGCTGGTCGTCTTCTCCAACAAGTGAGCGTCGGGCATTGCCGCAAGCTTACCCTTGGTTGGGAAAGGCTTCGAACTGTTCGAGTTCCGCTGTACGCGTGGATGGTGTGAAGATCTGCCAGCTCTAACGTCTGTCCCCACGTTCGCAACGTCCAGCGTCGGTATGCTTGAAACAAAACGAATTTTTGCAAATATGACCCCACCTTTGCAGCAGGCCCTGCATGCCTGCATACCTGGACTGCATACCTGAGCTTGGCGGATCGCTTGTCCCTCTTAGCCGTGTCTTATTCCGAGTGTTCGCAACACGACGTATGCCTGCAGGGAGCTGGTGAAGGAGAAGGACAAAAAGCATGCGCACAACGAGTTCACCCTGGCGCAGTGCCTCAGCAGACAGCGCCATGTGCTCCACGGATACGAGGCTCGGGTCTTGCGGCACATACCGAAGGTAAGGCCCCCCGCATGTGCCCACAGTTGGTGTGCGCGCTGTGTAAGCAGCTGGTGTGGCTCTGTGAACCTGTCCCATCGCACCTAGTGCTGTCCACAGCTCGTGTACGTGCTGTGTGAGCGGCTGGTGCGGCTCTGTTAGCCCGTTTCAGTGCGGCTCGTGCTATCCGCAGCTGGTGTTCGTGCTGCGTAAGCAGCTGGTGTGGCTCTGTGAACCTGTCTCATTGCACCTAGTGCTGTCCGCAGCTGGTGTTCGTGCTGTGTAAGCAGCTGGTGTGGCTCTGTGAACCCGTCTCATTGCACCTAGTGCTGTCCACAGCTGGTGTTCGCGCTGTGTAAGGAGCTGGTGTGGCTCTGTGAACCCGTCTCATTGCACCTAGCGCTGTCCACAGCTCCTGTACGTGCTGTGTGAGCGGCTGGTGCGACTGTGTGCACGCCTCAGTGCACCTGGTGCTGTCCACATCTGATGTGCGTGCTGTGTGAGCCGCTCGTGCGGCTCTGTGAGCCCGTCTCAGTGCGCCTGGTGCTGTCCACAGCTGGTGCACGTGCTGTATGAGCGGCTGGTGCGGCTCTATGAGCCCGCCTCAGTGCATGTGCTGCTGTCCACAGCTGGTGTACGTGCTGTGTGAGCGGCTGGTGCGGCTCTGTGAGCCCGTGTCACGGTCTCGCGGCACCTTCTTCGGCGCGGCCCCCGACTATCGCGTGGGCTCGCCCAGCTTCACGGCCTTCTTCATCGCGGCCCGACTGCAGGGCGAGACGACCAGCACCCTCAGCTACTCTCAGCTCAGCACCATGCCCGTCACCAGCCCCGTCGAGTCGCCAACACCGCACGGTGAGTCACAGCTCACCGTAAGTCGCAGCTTACATGTGAGCTCTTACACGCCACCTTTGTAACCGCCCTAGCCGGATTTGTGAACTGTAACATTAGCTTAGCTCTGCGTGCCTTACGCGTATCGCACGCAGCATCCCGCTGTCCCGTGCAGGCCAAAGTGGCATGCCAATGTACTGATACTGCACATCACTAGTCCGGATAGGTACGGAAGAACCGGCAGTGGTTTTGCACGGCGCACAGCACCATTTCCTCCGGTGATCCTGATCATGCACTTATCAGTCCGTAAAGAATTGTACACGACTTCAGCCTACGTGAGTAGCTGTCAGCATGTAGATGACGAATGTAACAGCAAAATACAACACGCTGGCGAGCATGATCTGCTTGCCAAAACAGCCGACAGTTGGTGCATTCATTCCATGAGCGTATTTCATTCAACCGAGCGTTCTCCCTGGCTGGAAGAATATGGTACTTAACAGAAGGAGTCACAGCGCGCTTCGACATGTTTCCCATTTTGTTTGTTTTGATACAAAAGGTGAGGTGGCAATCAGAACAGATCGCTTGAACTTATTTCGTGCTCCGAGCAAACGCGTTCGATTACACAAATTTACCTGTTTTGATTTAAAAAGGAGTATCTTGGGATGCACCGATGCCGTTGATTTATCGTCCGTGAGCTGGAAGCGATTCAAGTGCTTCTCCCTAAGCGGCATCCTGATATGGCCCTATGTTTACCAACAATAAGATGCACAATTCTCGTTACCGATTCTGCTTCAAAGAAACATCATACTTAAGTCGAACGTAAGCAATTATGTGTAGCAACAATGGCGTAAATATAATTACCGACTTGAGTGTCTGTTATAGTGTCAACATTATGACATCAACTGCCCCGCTTCCTTGGATTAATCGTAAAGCCGAGCATATTATTTGACTCCTGTCAGACAACAGCCGTTTTCATCAGCCCTTTTTGCTGGTTAATTTGTGGCACAACACAACATCCATCGAACAGTACGGTAATCGTCTGTTTCGAGAAATTAGGTACTAAAGCTGATCGAATCTCTCAATTTTGGTTGCCATTGGAACTTGGCTGGAACGTGTAACTATGGCGGCGAGACGTCACCTTTCCAATATGCGAACCAGTCAGTGAAAATGTACGCGTCTATGGGTCGTCGTTGTAGGTATAACGCCCGTGTCACGAGACATCTTCAGGCATTATGAGAGCACAGGTGGGATTCGGACGTGGCGAAAGCTCAGGCATTCTCAATGCATTTCATAGCCTTATAGATGTCGCTGAACCGCTGAGGGAGTGCAAACTATTTCCTCTTCGGATTCTCTAAACTGATCCCCAGTTTGTGTCTTGGAGTCTTTCAAGACGTGGAGCTGTGTGAGAAAGGTAACATTGTATCGCTTTTTTTGCGATTGTTCATACATATGTTTGAGCTCATGACAATTTCAATTCAAAATATGTTAAAAAACTTGTTGAGGGGGGGGGGGGTTCTGGGATGGGTTGCGCGCGCTGTGCACCTGCCACGCCGCCTCTGGATGTTTGTGCACCGCCGGCTACCGCTGTCACGTCTCCCCAAAAGAGCAAATTTATACTGAGGAGCCCATTAGTCAGCATACGAGTCAGATTATGTCAGCGCAAGACTCGGCACATTGTGACTCCGTTACACCCGACATCACACACACTCATGTCATCCACGGAGAGCTAGTATGAAGCGGGTGACGGCGGCATTGGCGGTATGGCGGTATGGTAGGTTCGGTCAGGCACCACGAATGGCTCTATCCCCGTACATGGCTGTGCGCCCTTAAGCACGGTACCCCACCTCCACCTTTTAGCTGGTGATTATGTTGAAACGGGACAAAAACCAAGCCAGATGCATCGATAATACGCCCAAATTGGCAGGGTCCCCACACAACCGGCGAATTCCGTTGGCAAAGGCCCGCTGGATACCAATCCTGGGAGCCCCCTCGGCCTTAGCTAATCCACGCAGACGTCATGAATTCGGCGCCCCACCACAATCACTCCAGGCATAGATATCCGCTGGCGCCACGCCACTCCGCTCATTCCTGGCTCGCACACGGATGCCCCCCCCCCCCCCCCCTGTTTTATCCCCGTTTATCCAGCGCCTTCACATCATAGTTGGGACGTCTGTGCGAGTCCTCGTTAAGTTAAGTTAAAGACATTCAACACACTTAAACACCCAGTAAAACCACGTGCATGCCCTATTTAAAACATATCAGCTTAATTTATCAGCTTGACACCGCCGACGCTACTGGACCAACACCAACAAGCTGGCCGGCACCCGTTCCCTCGCCTGACCTCTAGGGTGACGGCTTCCTATTTGGATAACGCTCCCCGCGTCTCGGACACGGGACACAACCAACGACAACGGTGGGCGGCCCACCAGTCCTTCGGCGGTGGGCGTGACCGAAGGTCACGCTATGCTGTCATAAGTGTCAGGCCAGCTTCACCGGTCTGAGCGGGCGATGGTATGTATGCTTGGCCACTGGGAATGTGCGTTGTATCTGACCACGCCCTTGTCGCAATACGTTTGTTTGTGCACCTTATGTTTCAGCTCCGATTGCATGAAATCAGTGTCCCCGAAAGTAGCCCACGTCCTGTTCAGACCTTTACCGCTCTTAGAAAAAAGTCTGGAGCGCTGACGCTGCTATACTCCGCGCCACATACTGCCTATCAAACACGATCTTTTTTTGTTCTGCCAGTCGTGGATATGAAGCCAAAATTGAAAATATGAAGCCACAATATGAATCCAGTGTGCAACAAAATTGCTCTCACCAGAGCGGTGGTTATGCTGTCAGAGCCAACTACAAAGAAGTGCCCAAGCCCTGCGTTATTGGGGTGGATGCCGTCGATTTAGCGTCAAGGCGAGCCTTGCTGACGTCCCTACATCAGCCCGCCGGCGACGCGCGCCGCCTCCCCCTTCTCTTCCGCTGCAGGACACGCGCCTGCGCGGCGTCTCAGTCCGTGACCTGGGCCGGCAGGAAACGGCGAGGAGGGGCCGCGCCTCGGCTCCGCCGTGGACGACAACAGCCTCGACTCCGTGCTCGACGACGGCATCCAGAACCAGAGTCTGGCGCAGAACGATGTGTACCACGAGATGATGTCACAGGTGGACCTGCGGAAGGCAGCCGAGCAGGAGCACGTGCAGGTAGGGACTGGTGGCTGAGCAGGAGCACGTGCAGAGTTGGGGGCTGGCAGTTGAGCAGGAGCAAGTGCAACTGGAGATTGATAGCTGAGCAGGACCTAGTGGAGGTGGGGGTTGGTGGTTGAGCAGGAGCACGTGTCGTTCGAGGTTGGCAGTGACTACTGAAACACTGTTGACTTGCTGATGCTGCATCAATGTGCAATTCCAACAGTTATCTGATGTGCAACTACCACAGAGCGGTACAGCCTGACTTCCGCCGTCCCCGCATTTAATTTTGTTCGTACGGCCTCTATATCACCTAGCGGGTGCCGGTGACGGCTATCTACGACGCTCTGCTCGTCGATCACCCGCTGCTGGGGAGCGAGTTCAGCAAGAAAATGCGCCACATCCGCTTCGAGCTCAACATACGTCAGTCCGCGTGGGAGAAGCTCAGCACAGAGACGGACCTGAAAATACTGACAGGTAAGCTTCTGATCGCTTCGAGCTCAACATACGTCAGTTCGCGTGGGAGAAGCTCAACACAGAGACGGACCTGAAAATACTGACAGGTAAGCTTTTGATCGCTTCGAGCTCAACATACGGCAGCCCGCGTGGGGGAAGCTCAACACAGAGACGGGCCTGAAGATACTGACAGGTAAGTTTCTGATCGCCAGGCACTTGAACAGGTCTGTTTTAAACTGATGAGATACACCGCAAAGGCCAGGTTGGTCTCTTAATATAAATAGGAACGTTTATATGTTAGCCAAACATGTTTGCATGACCGTCGCCGGTTTTTACGAATCTGCTTGTTGTTTTTTATGGACGGGTTTCTGTGATAAGGGCAACTTGTTCTGCTACGACTTTAATACACGCAAGGTTCCTGTCACGTCTTTGCTCCGCTTGTATCGTGGCTCAAATGGATAAACAACAGAACCTGCGTCGCTAAAACACTTACATTGCTTTGCATTTAAAACCAGAGCCACTTCTCGGAAGAAATGAAATAATTTGTCGTGCAAACTGGCAGCTGCGGTAGTAAAGATCCTACCGTTGGCAAGTAAGCCGTTGATGCTCTTTTCAGTTTAATATGTCACGCTGCCTAAACGGAATGAAAGCTTGCGATTTTGACTTGTCATATGTCTGTCCCAGGGCTGCTGTTTGCGTGGCTTGAACACCTGAGGGTGCCGATTCTCGACAAGGAGTACCTCACCTACATCGTGCTGGCACCGAACAAAATCGACTACTGCTTCACCAAACAAGATAAGGTAAAGTGGATCCGCTAGTGCTGCGTATACACTGCTTGCGGTCAGACGGGACCCGGATATTATTGTGTGATTGTAAGAACAAAGGTCTTCTTTATCAGTCTCACATAGATCACTATTTGGTACCCCTAGATCAGGACATATTGTTAGGAACTTGCTTAAATAGCTTTTGGTAGGGATGTTGAGGCATTCTTCTCAAAGGCTCAGAAACTCGGCTTGTAGGAGGAGGGGGGGGGGGGGGGGGGGAGGGGCCAAACGTGGGCCAGTGGTTGAGGTCTTGAGTTTCTGCTCAGCATTCTCGCAGGACTTAACATGACCACACTTGACATAACATGCCCACGTCGTTAATGACCCTAAAACTACATAATTGACCTTGTTCCCTTTTGCATCGCTCTCTCAGCTCTTGGTATTCTTCGATTGTCTACACTATTTCAAGTTAGTACAACTTATGCCGACACCTTTAAATCGCATATGATTTAAATCCACCTTGGCTCAACGAATATTGGAATCTTTGAAGTTGGTTCTAACTTTAATTGTAATAAAATAGTCTTTTGTTACATTTTGGACACCAAACTGAATGTGGCTGTCCCTATGAACGTACGCTCCAAGGTTACGCAGCAAAAACCCAGGCCTGGCCGCTCCCGTGACGTCACAGACGTGTTCCGTTGGCATCGGCTGTCTGTGATCCTGTAAGCAGCGCCGGCTGGCCCGCAGGACACGCGGTTCACCGTGGAGTACCTGGTGCGGTTCGTGTCGCGCCTGCAGCCACTCACAGCCGAGCAACAGAAGACCCTCCTTCTGCGTCTTGCCGCAGCCCTCACCCAGCAGGGCGTTCCCGTGCAGGGAATCCTGAAGCCTGCTGGTAAGCTGGCGTTCCGCAGGTGCCGCGTCTTCGGGCCGGCCGGCAGTGGCCGCGCAGCTTTGTAGCATGCTCGCTGCGCAGCGTGCTGCGGTTACCGATGCACTGGTAACTCGTGTCAGGCGAGAAGACACTAGACAGTGCAGCAGATGACTGTGTCTTTCCAGCAGTCACCAGGCGCTGATCCAAGACGTAAACGCACTCCCACGGTGACGACACCTCAGTCTCTGATCAGTGCCATCTATGTTCATCAGCTAACCTCGAACCGTCCACCTAGTGCAGATTCCTTTGTTATCCGGGTAACGCAGAACTACGCGATCGACACCAACACGCCGCCAAGCAGGCTTCGACTTTGCTGAGTTCCGCTGAGGCGCATGTCACACCCGTCCTTACCGCCGGCTCTGCGGCAGGTAAGGGCTACGCCAAGATGCGCGAGGGCACTCTGAGGAAGCTGACCGAGTTCATGGAGACGCTGCTGGAGCTGGTGAGCCTGGACGTGGCCCGACCCGACACCTACCTGCACCGCTCGCTGGACGCCACGCCCGGCTCGGCGCACGGCAAGGTCTCCGAGCTGGCGCGCGCCACGCTCAAGCACTCGCGCTCGGAGGAGGCGGCTGGCCGGATGCGGCCGCTGCACACGCCGCACAGCTCCGCCGATAACTCGCCGTCGCCCACCGGTGCGTCGGAGGAGGCCAGGCTCGAGCCGCCGCCGGCCTGAGGGCGCGAACCTGCTGGGGCCGTCGCTGCTGCCGCGGCGGAGGCGAGCGAGCTCCGGAGCAAGCGGCGAATGTAGCGCCGGGGCGGCAGACGGGTCAGCTGGTGCGGTGAGGACCGAGGATGGCGGCCATGCGGCACCGCAGCTGGCCGAACGGGGAAGTGGGGCACACTGGGCAGCTGGGCAGAGCCGAGCTGGGCAGCACGGGTGGC